AAAGAATTAAATAAGGATAAAATTGTTTACAATATATCATAGGTGTATCAAGTGTCAAAATTATACTCACATGCCTGTTAGTCATGCTAATTTAAAGAAGGAAAAAAAAAACAATTTGATACTTGCTAGTAAGTTTTTTTTTTTTTTTGGTGCAAAACCCATAGCATGCGGTACTTGGTGGTAATTCGGTGACATTTATCACCATTTAAATGATAGATAAGTTCGATAAAAAGATAATCATTTTACCAACTATTCCACGTCCTCCAAAAAAAACCAACCACGTATTCTCACCTCCCGTGAGAGGAAGTGTATCGAGCAAAACATCCCACCAAATGAGAAATTGGAAAATTGCCGACAATTTTCCCCATGTGGTGGACGGTATAATTGAATATTTCCCAAAATTAGTAGGACAAACCCCTCAAAAATAAAAATTAAAAACTACACACACGCTGTACACCGCTTACTTAATGGACCCCAATCCACCCCCTGCACGCATGAAACCAGCCTGTCCACGATCTCCTTGACATTTTTAACACAGCTCCCCCCTCTCCCCTTCCCCCCCCCTAAAATATCAACAACAAAAACAAACCGAGAACCAAGAAAATCAAGAAACCAAAATCTCAAAACTCTCTTCTTCATGGGCTCCTTCATTGAGACCATCCAAAAGAGCAAATTCATCCCAACAATGCCCTACAAAGATGACCTCCCCATCTCCCGATCAAACCCCGACCCTAACCCCAGCATAAGGAAGAGGATCTCCTCCTTCTCGGTGAGGATCCAGCCCCTCTCAACCGCATCCACCGCGTGGGCCTTCCGCAAGTCCAAGTCCATGCCGTCTCTCGGAGACTTCGCCGGCGGCCCGTTGAAGAGATGGTGGGCCTCAAGCTGGGCCTGGATCCTCTCCAGAAAGCCCACATTCGCCAAAGATCTTGAGATGAACGAGGAGGAGGTGTCAATGCTTGGCTGCCACAGTAGAGGGAGCCTTAAGCATTTGTTCTACAAAGTGAGGTCTGAGATAAGGAAGCTTGTGAGGTCTCAGACGCTGCCAACGACAGCGGCGCAGGGGTTTAGGTACGATTCCTTCAATTATGCCAAGAACTTTGATGATGGGAAGAGAGGGGATAATTAATGAGGGTTTGGTTCGAATGGGGATATGTTTGATATGTTCATTTGTTATTATTATTGAGATCTGTTATTTTTTTTTTTTTTTGTTAATGCCCTTGAAATGAATGTTATATATTTGGTGTATGATTTGAGAAATTGTGATTTGGATCTATAGATATTGTTCTTGTTGTGAGAGGTAGGGGAGGCAATTCTTTGGATCTTGGCGAGTACGTACTTTAATGGTTAGTTTGGTTAAGAAGATCTACATTTATTCGCATGGTATTTTTCATCTCATTATTTTTAGAAGGATAAATTGCAATTTCTATGTTCTTATTAAGATATATCTCTCTCTTTGTGGGAGTATTGCGTGAACTATTTGTTACTTTTCTTCATTTTTTTTTTTTCATCTACTAGTAATTTACGCGTGATGTACTGTAGTAATTGTAAAGTGTGAAGATTTATTAGCATTTAAAAATGACTTAGGGACCCAAAAATATGGAATCCTACATGGGATTGGTGATGTGTTGGTTCCCTATCCCATAACATGAACAGTGTATCATTAAACATGGAGCCGACACCTCACCAGTCCCACGTAAGATCTCAAGTTTTTGGTCGGTGTAGCACCACCCTTTTTCTTCTTTTTTTTCATCTACTAATAATTTACGCATGATGCACGATAGTAATCGTAAAGCGTGCAGATTTATTTGCATTTTAGCTCCGTGGTTTGTCTTTTCAAGAATAATGCACATGAATCCTAAGATCGGAGAGAGAACTCGATTGGGATCTCACGTCGCCTGGTATCACTAGGGATCAAGACTCGGTTCCATCGTCATCATCAAAAGAAGTCCGCGTATAGTAGCTGTCAACATAGTTGGTTTGTACTTTTCGAAGTTAGCTAATTCATTGCTGTCGGTGCCGCTTTAGCTTAGCTGTTGCCTGCTAAACGTTGTCCCAATTTATTTTTGAAAAACGTTTTTTTCCCCTCATTTTTCATTTTTTGAGCAATTAAGAGCTGGAGTGGAGCTTTCATGTTTGGCTTAATTAATAAAAATTTGATTAGTTCACCCACTTCTACAAATAATAATATAATATTACATATGACCTTACCTTAGATTCCACATATATCACCTAAAGATGACGATAATGAGCTGGGCTGACAGTTCGGGTATCACTTTCCGTTCAGACTATAGGCTTAAATAAAATCAATAGAACGATCGTAATTTGTATTTTTGAATGAAAAATGATTCAAAAATTTATACATAAAAGTAAATAATTGATTCAGCACCGCCTAATTAGATTCTCGGATAGTCTAAAAGGCGCCAATTAAGACTTGTTGACCAACAAAAAGATGAACGAAAATTGCATAGCACAAATAAAAAGATGATCATTTGGAGCTTATCGCCCGGCCAGGGCCGTACCTAGGAATTTTGGGGCCCAAGGCGAAATATTAGATGATGCCTAACTGATACAATTCATAATAAATTTTATCTCATTCTTCTTACCTTTTGAGCTGCAAAATTACTAATTAAAGTTTTATATTCAATATTTTCTAACATATTATTTTCGATAGATAATATTGCTAAACCATTTAATCTATCTTGTAACATGGTCATATTATTTTCGATAGATAATATTGCTAAACCATTTAATCTATCTTGTAACATGGTTGATCTTAAATAAAATTTTAGTAATTTTAATTTCGAAAAACTTCTTTCCGCGGAAGCAACTGTTACGGGTATAGTCAATAATACACGATAAGCAATACAAGTATTTGGAAAAGAATCTAAACGTTTTATATAGTTCAACACTTCAATTGGACTATTAATCTCTACTTTTAAAATTTTCCTAAGCACTCTCAATTCTGAAAACAAATCAAGTCCATTAATATCTAAATGTTCATCATGTTTTAGTGCATTTTCGAGATTAAGACAATAATCTTTCAATTCAATATCATTTAAAGCTTTTAACTTTTTCAAATCAAACAAAAAACCAAAAAAAAATTCATATGTTTAAAATTGTTCAAACCTACTTTCAATTGAGCCAAGCGATTTATCAACTATGTATAAGAAATATTCAATACGAAAAGATTCTTCAGCGTTAAATATTGTTTCATTACCAATACTTTCATCAAATTGTTTTTTTCTATGAATTTTACGTTTTTCTTGAAATATAGGATGTACGTTCATTTCATTAGCAAGTTCTTTAGCTGAATTCAAAGCAGATATAAAACTATTTTGTCTATAATTTTCTAAATATACAATAAGACCTTTTAATTGATCTATGGCAATATCAATATGCATATATTTAGATTGTAAGATTTTACTAACTGAATTAACAGAAAACAGTATGTCATACCAAATATTCATAGCTAATAAGAATTCAAAATTTTCAATCTCATAAGTTGCTAAGCTATTAGCTTCACTTTTTATCTTTGGATCTTCACTAATTTCTGCTAATTGAATCACAACTTTCTCATCTAGTTTGAGATAAAGTTTTAACGGATAACTTGCATCCATTATCCTCTAAAATTTTCCATCGTTTAGTAGATGAAGCAAACAATGAGTATATACGTTGCAACACTCCAAAAAAAGAAATAGCTCTAGGACATGAATTAGCTACATAAGACTAAATTTAAATTATGACAACCACATGGTGTATAAAATGCGATTAGGGTTTTTGGCGAACGGTGTGGGGGTTTAAAAATATTGGGGGGTGGGGGCCCTACCTAAAATGAGGTCCAAGGCAACTGCCTTAGTTGCCTAAGGGTAGGGCCGGCCCTGCGCCCGGCGTCACTCGTCAGTCCGTCATTTGAAGATGAGAACATAAGCAAAAGAAATGTAGGGCCTTGTTTATTGTACCTTTCCTATAAGAAGTGAGTTTTTAGAGCTTTTCTACAGGGACTCAAAATATGTGACCAATAAGGGGACAAGTGAGGTGTCCCCCTCCTATTGACTAATAAGTTGGTCATCATTAATGATGGCCAACTCATTATCCAACAGGAGGGGGACACCTCACTTGTCCCACCTATTGGTCCCATATTTTTTGTCATTAAGAAATTTTTTAAGTTTTTATAACTATCCGAGAATATAAGGGTGGCGTTAAGTGACGCTACCCTTGTTGAATCTAGGATGCAAGTCTATAGGGGTTGTGAATAGATTTGCTATAAGCTTTTAACTAATTCAGAATAAGCAGCAGAAATAAAATAAGTAAAAAACTAAAAGGAATAACACAGGAACGTACAAAAATTTTATAGTTGTTTGGATCAAAATCCTACGTTACTCTTCCTTCTCGCGAATGGTATTCTTCACTGTGACCAGAGTTCATGCAATCACAACATGATTTGGTAGGCTTTAAAGATTGTTGGAATCTATCTAAAACTTATCATCTAACCTAACTCTTCACAATTTCCAGAAAAAACCTAACCCTAGCTAGCCAAACCTCAATGAACCTGGATTGAATACGCCAATCCTTAATTACCCCGGCTTAAGTACGTCGTCAAACTCGCAAGTTTGAATTAAAACCAACCCAAAATAAATAAAGAACAAAATAACAATCTTAAGCCCTTTATCAAACCGTTCTCCAAATCAATGTAGAAAGATTCATGAAAAAACGGTGTAGCATTGTAGGTGTAGGACACTCCTTCTCTATCAATCAAACTTCGATAAAAAGCGCACCGAGAAGAAGTTGAACGAGTCTCACAGTATTAAATCAACTCTCTCCCTCTTAAATCCTAAAAAAAGATCTCTCCTTTTTATACAATTGCTTCTCTCTCTTGTTATATTTTCTTCAAATATGATCTCTAACTTCTCTTATATAGGCTTTGATAGAATAGGAAAGAGATACTCTAATAAGAGTTACAAGAGATCAAATCAGTCAACGAATAATTGAGATTAAATCTGAAAATCTGTTAAAACACGTCATAATCATTGACGTTTGGTCACGATCATCGATGGCCCGTTGATGATCATCGATAGTTGATTGTAGTCCATCGATTGTGTAAATTCTGATTTCTAAATTTCTTTGTTTGTAGACTGTATTCCATTGATTATCCTTGCGATCATCGATGGTCAACTATAGACCATTAATGGCTCAATCTCTAGTTTTTGGTTTCTCCGATTCTTTCTTATAGTCATCGATGATTTTCTTGACCATTTGATGGTGCCTCTTGACCATCGACGGTTTAAAGGCTGAAATCAACATTCATGTTGATTTTTGCATTATTTTGAATTACAACTTGTTCGTACCTGTTTATACCTGAAATATGTCACTCACAAACATATCAGTAGCAAATGAGAGTTTGTTATTAATCAAACGGAAGATATTATATGAAGCAGCGTTTTGCACGAAACAACTTTCTAACAATCTTCCCCCTATAATAATAACAAAATTCAAATTTTGAAATATAGAATGTAAAATATAGTGAGATATATTCAGTACACATAACATATTTCATGAAAAAATATATATGATATGCAAATCTCCCTCTATAAATATGCATACATGAAAATGTACAGGTATTCCAGAAACTCCCTTTGATAATAAGCAAACTCCTAATGAAGAGAAAGAACTCAAAGTTTTAAAAACTCCTCTTGAAACAAAGAACTCAAAGTAAAAAAAAAATTACAAATTCATCATGAAAAAGATAATGAAACTCATAAAAAATTTCAATTTTCATTTCAAATTTCACCATTTTCTCCCTCTTTTGGTTATTAGCAAAAGAAAAACACGCCTAAGATATGCAATGTACTTGAAAATTCTAATAAATATTATTCAAGGTGAAAAGAAGAGAAATATATACGGTTCACAAAATAATTTTATAAAAAAATCATGAGAGATACATATATAACATCAAAACAAGTGAATCACAATAATAAATCATATTAAAATTCACACACAAACTATAAAGATGTTAATAATTTTTTTTTAAAAAACAACAATAAAACTAATTATATTAGTTCATAAAACAAATTCAGATATATCTTATTTAGATTGAGCTTCTTCTTTTGTTACATAACTTGAATATCTCAATCTTTAGAAAAAGTCTAAAATCTCGATTTATCATCTTAACCATATAAGAATTTTTAAAAGAATGAATAATAGTGTTTGGAGGGTGGTGTACACCATCTCTAAATATTAAAACTATTTAGCATAAGACGGATACCGTTGAGATATTGCACAAGCATATCCACAAGTGTGTGTTTTGACCATCTTTTAAAGAATACACTCAAATTTTATTGTGGATTTATAGAGTGTGGGTTTTTGACCATCTTTTTCATGAATAC